CATCCTTACCAGGGCTTGAGGCAAAAAAAATGCAGTTTGATTATGGCAGAAAATAAAATGTCTTTCTAAGTATAAGTATGAGTAAATGAAAAATGAGAAGAAAGCTCTAGTTATCTTCGCTGGAGACTAAGAAGGAACTTGTTGGCTTTGGTGAATGATTGGGTAAGCAATAGGATAGTGACATCAAATAATTACTGTGAAATAGTATTTAGTGAAAATATATCAGGACATGTAGCTGTGCTCTAGTATTCTCATATTGCACAGCATGAGAAACAATGGACATGTATAGTACAAAATCTACAGAGTCACAGTTATTCAAGTACATCTGTTTTTTATTCATCCATGACCACACTTATCATTATCTTTTAGATCAGCACTATCTCAAACAAAGTGAGTTAGTTTCTGTCATCTTGAAAGTTATTGTTTTCTTTAGTTTTAGATTGTTTAGATTTATTTATTTTTTGGTGAAAAAATGTAGGGGGCTGAGGGAGAGTTAATTAAAAATATATCTCTATTGCCTACTTTTAGAATATTTTAAAGGCTTTCCATATACCCTTCAGAGTTTTTAATGTGTACTTGAACAGAGTATTTTAGAAGTTGATTTCAGACTTGTATGTATGTAAGGTTATCTCTCTTGGTGTATCATTTCTGTTTCTCAAACATTCTAAATTGTTTGCACATGTTTACACCTTGTTAATTTAGTAATTGAAAAATACACTGCTGAATCTATCAAAATATTTTGGGTTTTCTCAAATTCACAGATGAGCATGCTCTTTCACAAATACATGAAGAGGACATTGCACATTTGTGCAATTGGGTCAAAACATATTCTGTGTTGCTATTTATTATGGTCCTATCAAGAGACATAAAATACTAAGAAATACCATATACTATTGTTGGTATATAAATTCAACATTAAAAGTATCCCTTTCTAAGGAGATATTCTGGTTGTTTTTTGTTAACTTCACACAAGATAAAATTATCTGGGTTGAGATACCTGAATTGTGAAAACACTTCCTTCAAAATTGCCTGTAGGAAAGTGAGTAGGGCATATTTTTGATTAATGATTGATGTGTGTGTATAACCCATTGGGAGCAGTGCCACTCACATGCAAGTGTTCCTGACTGCTGAGCAAGCCATGAGAATCAAGCAAGTAATCAGCGTTGCCCATGGCTTCTGCTTCAGTTCCTGCCTCCAGGTTCTAGCCTTGAGTTCCTGCTCTGACTTTCTTCACTAAAGAACTGTGATGTGGAAGTGTAAAATGATATGAACACTTTTCTTCCCAAGTTGGTTTTGGTCATGGTGTTTTATCAAAGCAATAAAACCTGTAACCAGGAGAGAAATTGGTACTGGGTTGAGGGATATTATTGTGACATACCTGACTGTGTTTTAGGAAGGATTATGAAAGAACTTTGTAACTTTGGGACATAAAAGCTATTGAGTGTTTAGAGATTAATGAACTGTTCTGGGAACTTACAAGATAATGCAGAGGCAGTGCAGATGATGGGAGTCTGGCCTGGAAATTTCAGAAAGAAGGTTAAGCATCCCCTAAAGAATCTACTGGGGCACTCAATATTTAAATTACAAACCTGTGATTCTGGTCAGCTGGGACTCAAGAGCTGACTGTGATTAAGAAGAGATCAGCATTATTGAGGTATAATCTGGGAAGCATGTTCTCACTGTCAGTACAAAGAATTTGAAGTATCGGTCCAGAGTGGAACAAGGCTGTCCCTTGTGCTGACAATCAAACTTTGTATGTGAAAGACTCACTCAGGTGGTACTGGTTTCAGAGTCATGAAGGGGTCATAGGGAATAGGTGAAACTTGTCACTATGAAAGACCATGAAAGACCACTGGTAAAAATATTAATTAGGTGCATAAGGACCCCAGCATTCTTGAGATGTCAGTACCATAGGATGACATCAAATATAGCAGCAGGTGTGGAGAGAGGCAGTCTCAGCACAGAAGAACTACTAGGTGTGCTTGGATGGAAAAGCAAGAGAAACGGAGTCGCCAAGGCCCTTTGTAGACCAGACAACATGTTTACCAGGAGAACTTGATTTTGCTTTGATTCAAATGATAGTGTGACCTGGTTTTTCCATCTTGGAAAAACAATGTAAGTAACTTATTTTTTATTTTGTAAGAGCTAACAGTTGAGATACTTTGAATTTTTAAAGACTTTAGAATTCATAGAGACTTGGGATATTTTTGAGAGGCTTTGAAATTTGGAAGAGACTTTAGGTATTTTAAAGAAACTGAACATTGAAAGTGTTTAGCTTTTCAGTGGTGAGAATGAACACATATTGATACCAGAATCTAGTGGGCATACACAGGCATTGATGCATGTATACTATGTTGTGTAATACTGAAAATTCTACTGAAGTTGGGATGATTAGTCCAAATTCAAAAGCAATAACACTTCTATAACAAAATGAGGATTCTCATGTAAACAGATCCCATAAAAATTACACATAGTCTTTGTCATCACATATCTGGTTGTATTTGAAATAGTTGTGTTTTCACAAGTACCAACCCAAATAAAAGCTTTCTATTTTAATTTTTCCTGGGATAAGAAGATCAGTATTTTATGAAAATTAGAATGGTGCTCCTTGACTATATAGATGATCTATTTTTTAATATCTTATGTCTTACAGAGTATGTCTTTATCTTAATACACTTTATCTTCCCTGTTATGTGTCCTTGTGTGAATATTCTATTCAGCCTTGGATTTCTTTGAGCATGGAGGATGTTCAATTTTTCTCCCCAAAAAAGGAAGCAATTGACACCCCTAGAAATTTGATATCCAATTAAACTGAGGTCCACATAGGCATGATTCCCAAACTAAAATACCATATATTGAATTAGAATATTGGACTCATTCCATTCTCTGAAGACCATCAAGGAAGTATATAAAATATGAATGAACTACAGAGCATAAAACTCTGTCCATTGGGGAATTTTGGGAATTTCCAGAACGTCAGTATTTTCTTGCTTCTAATTTTCTATTTTTTGTTATTAGTTCCTTACAAATTTCTCTGATAAGAGTTGAAAGACCTGTGGGAATAATAATAAGTTTAATTTTACTCCTATTTAGCAGTGTAAAATTAATAGATTCTCCACTAGGGACTATGAGTAGTCTAGTCACAGGTTTTCAGTCTCAGTAATGGTGCCAGGTACGGGTTTCCACTCATACAGTCCTTAGATCAAATCACATAATGAATGGTTAACCCCACAACATTGATGCCACTGTTGCACCAGTGAGCATGTTGCCAGAATGGTTGTTACTGTACCTGCAAGGATCTACAACTGAGTAAAGTTAATGATTATTTGGCTTCTCTAGTATTGGGCACAGTAACTTTCAAAAATGGAAAATCTAGCCAGTAGGGATGAGGCCTTCAGGTGAGTACCAAGTAGAAATCACCATTTTCTGTTCATCAAGAATGTGGTGTCTTCTGCAATAGAGTCTTACCATAAAGTTCTGGCTTGTACCTAAGAGCATTATCAATAGACTATATGGTGGGGATCTATAAAAACCAAATTCATTTCTAGCACTAGGCTTTTTGTTAAACTGTGATGTCTAGTAGAAACATTGTTGTCCATTATACAGTAATTTCATGTGAATTCTTTTTTTTTGAGACAGAATTTCACTGTGTAGTTTTAGTGCCCATCCTGGATCTTACTCTGTAGACCAGGCTGCCCTCAAACTCACAGAGATCCACCTGGCTCTGCCTCCCGAGTGCTGGGATTAGAGGTGTGTGCCACCACCTCTTGGTTTCATGTGAATTCTTAATAGATATTTAGATAGCTAGAAATAGAGGAGAAAAGATAGATAGATAGAAGGAATATATATATATATATATATATATATATATATATATATATATATGGAAACTTCTTCAGGAATAGGTTTCCATCTTTGTTTTTGAAATATAATTAGTGTTAGTTACTTCTCTCTCTATTTCATCTACTACCCCACCCTCTCATCAAATACCCCACTTAACTCTTAAGTTTTGAAAGTTTACAAAAATTAGAGAAAGAAATGTGAGAATTACTTGCCAAACAATGAAAAAGAAATTAGACGTACCACAGTCCTTGACAATAGGAATATATTGAAGCATATGACCTCAGGAATAAAACTAAACTTAAATGGAAGAGTGCAGATTATTCAATGTCTTCCAATATATATTAGGAGGAAGGAACATTTTTAATAAATTAGGAAACCATTAAAAGGTCTGGGGAGGATTTAAAAATAACATGGAGGTAGAACATTGTGTCTATGAATAAATAAGAACCACTGAGTCAATCTTGAACGGATAAAAATCAAGAAACTACTGACACAATTCAATCCAATAAATTCTAGGGTCCTGCTCTGAAAAGTATGTAGATGTTGAGAAATTGACAGTAGTATGAGCACAAAGAACCCAAAGATCACAATCCAACCCCAGGAGAGATAGGATGCTAATGAGGGATGTTTGATGGAAAGCCTAGTGGACAAGGGTCAGTGGCCCAGCATGATCATCTTTCTTCAGTTATTGTTCATCCAGTTACACTGTAATAGGATGCAATTCATTTGCATATAGGTCACTTTAGAATGGGAAAAATCAGAAAGCCGTAGGCAGATATCCATGGACAGGCTCCAGAACCAAGTAACAAAGGAAAAAGGATCCAGCGTATTAACACTCATAGCCCAGACTCTAAACACTGCAACAATTACTGATTCCAACTATTTTCTTCCACCACAACTGCCACTGGTCTAAGTCACCTAACATGGCTAAAATGTAAGAATATCCTAGACTTGTTTATTAATACAGAAGTTCTACATCCAGTCTTCACAGTGGCACAGCTATTATTTAACTCAATTTTTCTCTCACATGCAATTATGGACATCATAATTGCAGTCATTCACTCACACAGAAATATGCTTGTGTTGGAATTGTCTGTATATGTCTGTAATCCTATGTCCATTTTCATCTTTTAGGATTGTCCATAATTGTAGAGATAATGAGTGAATACAAGACAATTGTTCTTCAACAAGGATTAGAGGATGTGGCTGTGGATGACTACCAGTTTAGGAAAATCAAGTCCTTACTAAGACAAGAACTAAAGCTAACAAAAAAGATGCAAGATGATTATGACAGAATTCAGTTGGCTGACCTGATGGAGGACACATTCCCAGAAGATGCTGGACTGGAAAAACTGATAGAAGTGTGTCAAAGCATTAAAGGACTTGAAAACCTTGCTAAAAAACTTGAAACAGAGAGAGCAAAAGGTAACATGGGAACACCTTGGACACTCATCCCTTTTCTTCCCTCCCTAAACTCTCTGGCTCCCTGCAGTGATCAGAGCTGATATGTCGCTTTACCACTGTGTACCTTAGACATTATGGGGGTTGAAGCATTTCAGATGTCAACAAGTTGATTTCAAGAAACGCTTTCTCACAAAGAAATATGGTATATTTCAGGATAAACTTCTTTTACATTGGAGGTAAATAAAATAAAAAGCAGTTGTTGAGATAGATTAGAATACCCAACATGGTAGTAAAACCATAAAATGATAAAGTGAACAATGAAAAAAATCACTTAAAGCATATAAATAGAGTACATTTAATACTCAATTAACAATCTTCCCAATCATTAATATCTTTTCTGCTAACAAATATTATCTAATACTTAAGTACAAGTCTGCATCTTTCAGATGTGAAGAAGCTTCTCTTTATAAAGTCACTGAATTAAAAAAGTATTAGATATATGGGTACACAACTCTGACCCCAGCATTTAGCATAATGAAGATCTGAAACTGAAGTTTACATTGCACAAGTTTATATCAGATTTCCTTTCATTGCTTTCTATTATTTGAGAGTATTATACACAAAACATGACTAGTCAGTGTGATAAAAATTCGGATTTTTTGGAGAATGAGAATGAGAAAAGCTTAGCTGATGGACATGGGTTCAGGGACAGGAAGTATTTTCTCATTTTAGAGGGGACAAGTAAAAAAAAAAATCAAGCAGTGGAGACTGTGTCTAAGGCTGTGCCTTTAGTGGTGTGCCCCCATAGTAAACTAATAGAATAAACATAGATATGAATGCAATGGAGAGAAAATGGCAGGAAAACTAGATGGTTCCAAGTCCTCTGTTTTGGTTTATTGGGCTCTTTCTTCATGCATTTGTTGTGATAAAAATTATACCCATTCTAGTAAAAGGAAAATCCCCACTGAGAAAAAGGAAGCAAGAAGCAGGCTCTGATACACCCACATCGACTACCAGCAACACCGTAGCATCTGATGGAGGGGAGACTCCCACAACTCAGGTGAGCTTGAGGAACAGCTGCGGGCTGGCAGTCCACAGAGGGGTCAGCCGTGCCTTTTCCCTACTCTGTCCATCAAGGACTCATTGCTTTATTAGTTTGTCTTCAAGCTTTATTGAAACTCACGGTAAGTGGTCACGCAGCATTAATATGTGTTCACTTCTATTAGAAAGCTGTGTACTTGAAAATCACGTAGAACAATGGTGTTCATGTTTACACAAACCAACTTTTCAAATTCAAATTCAATTATGTCCTACCATAGAGGTAATGTCAGAAAAATTGTGTATATAACCCTTTCCTTTCTCTTTGTTTAATGAAACAGCTGATGCCCACATTTTATGACTATTTATAATTATATCTTAGACCTAGGTAAAAGGTGAGTGTTATTCCTTCAAGTTCCCAACATATTCAGGCATAATAAATCTACTACCTAATAATGAAGACACATTCTGTTCACTTGATACTGAGACTCATTAACAGGCCAATGGATATACTTTCAGAAAAGAAAAAGTATTAATAGAGAAAAGGCTGGAGTGAAAAAGACCAAGCAGTCTGAGGAGCCAGATCACCCTCCCTGTCCTGAGGAAGTCACAGCCAGATGCCAGTCCCCAGAGCTGCAGACCTCATCTTTGGCTTCATCCAACACTTCTTTGGCTAAGGTACAGGTTTTCTGTCTCACTTTTATTTCTTCAATTCAAACATCAGGATCAGATCTTGATGCTCTGACCATGTCATGCACTTGCCACTGAGATTTAATTAATTAGGAAAAACACAAGGACTGGATATGTTAGAAGTCAATCTCCATACAAAGGCAGAAACTTATAAAGACAGGTGATACAAATATAGAATTTGCTGCACCATAATAACCTTTTGTTGCTATGAAGACAGTGAATGAACATAACATTTCTTTTGACAATGAGGAGTTTCCTGGCTTGTGTTGATCCCAGGTAGGAAGGGAGAGGTGACGAGTCCAGATATACAAATGTCATAGCAATGAGTACTGTTTCCATAAGTTGGAACCTCTATCAGTCACTGCTAAAGAAGCTAAGAACCTGAGACTAGGTAGCCATGGGCCTGGGAGAAACCTACTACTATTATTCTGCTGAAGGAACATAGCAATAGCATATGACATACTGTTATATCTATAGAGCAGTGCCTCCTTCACCTCTCATCACAGAAGCTTCTTCTTGCCATAGTTGGGAATTAACACAGAGACCCACAACTGGCCAATGTGCAGACAGTGAAAGACTTACAGTATCCATTCCTCAATGGGTTTTCTTCATCAACTCCCTCTTGTCACAGCTCAGGGATTTATGTGGAAGGAGAGGATGAAAGATTTTAAGAGCCAGAGATGTTGCATGACTCCAAGGAAACAGTGTCTTTCAAACAGGACTAATGCACATATGAACTCATTCACTGGAGGCACACATTTAAATAGCACAGGTTCAAGCCACCTGGGGTCCCAAAAATGAGAGGAGGAAGTGAACATACAGTCCTACCCCTAACAAAGAAGCTATTTTCAGTTGATACCCACTAGCAAATGGCTTCTCCAATGGAGACTATCAACCATATTCTAGAACAGGCCCATGGCTGAGAGTAGTCGGCCAATATAAAAGGAGCTCCATGAGTTTTTGTTTTTGTTTTTGTTTTTTTTTGTAGGGGAGGTATTTTGTTTTACTTGGGAATTTTCTTTTCTGATTTTACTTTTTATGTTTTTATTTTATTTTTTGAGAGTGAGAGGAAGAACATGAAGTTAAATGGGGAGAGGAGAAGATCTGGGAGAGTTGGGGGAGAAGAATTATAATCAATACATAATGTATAAAAATTAAATAAAAGTAATAGAAAATACCAATTCTTGGAGAGAAGAAAAATGTAATGAAGGAAATTAAAGAATTTTTGGAAATATAGGAAAATATGACATTCACCAGAAACTGGGAGTGAAAAGAAGTGAGCTACAATCTATTATGTCATGTTTAAGTTTTTCAGGTCAGGATACTTTCATTTGGTCTTGTCAAATATTCCTTCAGTATCAAGTATCAATATTAATGTAATAACACATGAAAAATAGGATGATTGATGCCTCTAAGTTTTTCTGAGTTCTCATTGAAGGAAACAAATGATTTGTCACAGAGGGAAGACTAGAACATTTTCAGCATCCATTCTCTGGACTCTCCCTTTCCTCTCTCTATCCCTCCTTCTTTACCTCTCCCCCCTTCTTTTTCTCACTCAAGGAAATATAATCAGACAATTAAGCAATAAAAGAAGAAAGTTTATTCACCTCAAATCTTACCATTCAGATAATTTAAAGGGTTTTCTTTGTACTTCTCAGATACTTTTATAATTATGTGGAAAATTTTTCTAGTGTAACATCTCAAAATAGTTATTTATTATTTGATTTTCAAATTTAACGTATCAGGGCTCTCTTTCCAAGTCTCTAAGTTAAAATTCATATAATATTCAATGGTTACATCTGTGTTTCTGTTCCTTTTTTAAATAATTCATTTTAGATTGCTTATCTACTACTACAAGCTCAGTATCACTTTCAGTGATTATCCTTGAAATGTGTGCATTAAGGATCATTTTGTGGCCTTCTAAAAACCCACTCATTTATTTTATGCATGTCCTATAACTTTATTGATAATTTAAGTCTAGTCATTGCTACTTGTTTACTTATATACCCATCACTACCACTAATTATATTCCTTTTTTATTTTCATTTTGTACTAATTGGTTACACTGATTAAAAAAAACAGATCCAAATTAAATCTAATCAGTCATAGGTGATAATTGTTTGTTACATGATAGCTTGGATTATTTTCATTACCTTGGGCTTGTGAAACAATAACACTATCTCCTATTCTTCTATGAAGTTTATAGATTTTCATTGTTTTGCATACTCTGTCTTACAGTAAGACAATCTTTTCTTCAGTGAAATACTCTGTTAAAACCTACTGAACTCAGAACACTATGCAGAAAGCAGATTAGATGCCTGATAATATTTCTCTGGATTTGCAAATTTTTGCTCTTCAGGAAAACTCTTTATCCATGTATAAGGACATAGTTCCAACCAAAGTACCACTCTTGAGCCTATTTAAAAGTGATAACTGTGGGCCAGCTCATGTAGTTTTTGATCATTTAATTATAGCAGATTGGTTTCTCCTTAGAAAATATACTATAATTTGTACCCTCAGAATAACCCCAGATAGTTCTGTGTTAACTAAAGTCCTATGTCATCTTTATGGTTTGTATTTAACATTCTGTATTTTCAACAGTATTTAACTTTCCCCTTTTATATTCTTTGGACATAGAGCAAAGGATATATTAGAATTCATTATAATTTCACTTAAGTACATCATAAAATTGATCTCAAATCTTGTGCTGTGTTCATGCTGAATATCTTGCTTAGAATATTCCTCTGATTTTCAGTGAGTGTTCAAACTTCGGTTGCTGAAGCCCATTGCTTCCATTCATTGGCCTTTTGGTTAATGAAATAATTCCTCTTTAGTTTATCCACACTTCTACAAATACATATAAATTGTTAGGACTTATGTGGAGATTGTGATTTATCTTATGTAAAGGTTAATTTGTATTTACTGATAAACTTATATATTTATATTCCTGTGTTTTTTCAACCAAAAAAACACAGACCCAAAATCAGAGCATTGCCAGAGGTGCTGTTCTCCAAAAGGACGCCATGACAGTGATTGTGCTCAATGCAATAGACCCATTTGTATATGCGTCATCAGAACACGAAGTAAAAGAAATGTTTCATGCTACAGTGGCCACTGTGAATGAGTATTTCCATGTGAAAGTTTTCAACATCAACCTGAAAGAGAAGTTCACAAAAAAGAATGTCATAATAATCTCCAATTACTTCAAGTTCAAAGGAATCCTAGAGATAAATGAGGCTTCCTCTGTATTTGAAGCTGGTCCTGACCAGAAGATTGAAGTCTCCAACAGTCTTATCAGAAAAGCAAATAAACCTCCCCAGATTTCTGATTTTCACAAGTATGGCCCTGGAGCAGTGGTTTATGGGTTGTTTACATTACAGAAGGTAATGCCTGAAAATTTGTTTTCGTCTTTTTCTCCACCAACACCTGAACTCAAATACGATAACTTTCCAGTTGCTATAAAAATATTGTAACAGAAGTCTTTACCATGGCTGGGGATAACAGATGAAATCACTCCATATACTAAGGAATAAGAGTGGGTGACCTATTAACAACCTACTTCCTAAGATATCTCTTAAAGAGTTCCCTGAAAATGAATTACCAAGGGTCTTTATTTTACTAGTTAAAAAATACCTACCCTCAGCCACAGTGAGCAGGAATGGTGTAGGACATAGTTCATTGCCATGCCAACAGTCTCAGTTATTTTAAACTCCACTGCAACTATACAATACTCATTTTTTTCTTTCTATATACTTTGTTTCTATAGATGGACTGAATCAGGGTGATTAGTGATTGTGACAGGTATTTGGAATCATACATGATTGGCTGGCATCCTTCTAAATAAAAAACTACTCAATAGAATGAATCTTCTATCTCTATAGATAGTAGGTTTAATCATTCAATGTTGACTCTTGTATCTTAATTAACTATTTCTGAAGATCATAGCAATTGATAACTATTGTATGAAATGAACCTAGTTTTCTCATTTACAGAAGAAAATATACACAGACTTCTCATTGATGCATCAATGACCAAAATCAGGGTATTAGGATTCAGTATTTAAAATTGACAACCTTGGGGAACTCAGCAAATGTTTTATAAACTTGGCAACTTTAAGTCTGTTTAGTCCATCCTCTTTTAAAAAGACCCTGTAGTTTAAACCCATACTTTAAGACACATTCTTTAGACTATGCTTATGAACACAATTGAAAAGTTGAAGAGCAATAGCTTGAGAGAAACTCAATACAGTATGAATTGGGGACATTGACTTACTTGGACATGATACTGGAAAGAGGTAAGCAAATGGAGAGGGTCTAAATGAATAAATTACCGGAATCTTATCTGTTCTGTAGATTTTTTTAACCTATTTAATGAATGAACAGTGGGAGCAAATGGCCATTCATCCCTTTATAAGCAGAAGATAGAAAGATGGTTGCCCGAAGTTCTGATTCCTGAGATCAACCAGGGTGGTTTATGGAATCAAGACTGTTGAGGAATAGAATGGGGTGTAGTGAAAAACAGGAAGAACATTTATCGTCCTAAGATTTCCAGGCACAAATCTTCTAGATAACAAAAGTAAATCATTGCAATGATAAAAGACAATTCTTTGGGAAGACTTCAGTAAAGATACCTATATGCCTGTGTCTGGAACAGATTTCATATTTTCCTGTCATTTTTGTCACAAAATGTCTTTTTTTGAATTTATAACAATGTCTCTGAATGTGATAACTTTCAGGAAATGAATGTTAATTTTATTTTGCAGAAAAAAGTGAACCCAAAGAACACAATCTATGAAATAAAGGATGATGATAAAAATAATATAGAAGTTGTAGGGAATGGAAAATGGTACAACATCAGCTGTGAGGAAGGAGATAAATTTCAACTCTTCTGCTTTCAACTGAAAACAATTGACAAGCAACTGAAGTTGGTGTGTGGTGATCACAGTTTCATTAAGGTAGGAAGTAGACTGGGAATGGAGTTGTCAAAGTGGAAATTGATGCTTTCTTTAGGATTCTGAATATTGACTTTTCAGTGTATTACATAGATAATTCTATCTCTGGAGGAGAGAATTGAGATTATGCTCTTATACTCATTTCAATGGGGAAGATTGTCTTAATGGATATTGAAGAATTAATCCAAAGATTATTGTATATATTCTAAATAACCAGAAGTATGAAGAAGTTAGAATGATATGGAAATACATTTGAATAGAGATCAAGAGCAAGGGTTGTTAATAAGTCAGATGTGATTTGAATGCCAGCCTCAACCATTAAGAGTTGGCTAATTCTGGAGAAAGTTAAACTCTTAATCTGGATTTTAAGGGAAGAAATGCCTATATATTTAGGAGTTATCAGAGTGTTTAGCACATCATAAAAAATGAGTAGGTATTACTTTCTTAACTGGGTGAAGACACTAGAGAGATAGAGATATCTAAGAAATAGAAATGACATGAACACTGAAGAGGGATCAACACTATTAATTCTAGTACATATGCAAGATGACAACTCTAAGAACGGGAGACTAAATGGCTGTTTAAATGGTCAGATAAATGTAGCATTGTCAGAAATAAGGAAATAAGGACTATTCATGGTGGATAAGCTAAATACTGAAAGGTTTATGAGGATGAATGCTTGGTCACTTTGACACATTAGTAAAAAATATTTTGTATTGAAAATTTGTGTTGCACAGAAACTTGACTTGGAGGCAGAAATATTAGTTAGACACAACTATGTGCTATTATACACTTTCATATTAAGTATTTGCATTAAATATTGAGGAGCTTTGTAAGTTGCTTATGAAATCTTTGGCAGTTTGAATATCACCATAGACTTGTGCCACTAAAACATGCAAAGGCTATGGAGCATGATTTTAAAAACTAGGCAGCTGTTTTATCAAGACAAAACAGAAGCTATTTCATAATAGTACTAAGCAGGGAAAAAGATAAATGGGGCTTTGAGTAGTGGAGATGAGTAATGTTTAAGAAGAAAGACCCTCATTATTTTACAACCAGCATGGTAATGGTGGTAAGAGAGAAAATGGGTTCAAAGCACATCCAAATGTGATTCAGTGATTATCGTTAAGAAACAAGATAAATGGTGCTGCTACTAACACTGAGAACAAAGAACACCACCTAAGGGGTGGACGGATGTTCAGATTGATGTTGATGTTGAACCCCCTTTAGTAAATTCACATTTATACTAATAGAGAACACCTGCCAAATGCTCACTATGAGCTGGGACTTTAAACAGCAAAAGAGAGATAATAATAATTTCCATTTTGTAGATGATCAGAAATAGTCACTGACAAAGATAGTAAGTGGTGGAACTGAATTCTACCTATGCTACCTGGCACTGAATGCAGATTCTTAGACAAGATGAGTATGCAGATCAGTGATGGCAGTTATGGATCACAGGACAGTGAATGGACAGCCAGTGATAAACAATACTACAAATTAAGACAAACAAATGGAGAGGTCAAGATAAAATGTAAGGTAGAGGAAACATAGAGAAAATTTAAGGAGGAATAGGATCAACATAGTTCATGCCAGATAAAAATGATCATGGGACTCTCTTGTAATAACTCTATTAAAACCTTAGAGATGGTTTAAACAGAAGGTACACTCCAGATACAACAGTCAAAATGTAATTGCTACTACATTCTGACACAGGGATATACCCATTAGTTGTTTCATTTTCAAGAACACAAGAATCCATGAGGTTCAACTATATCTGATAACCTAGAGCAGTAGTACTGAGGAAAATCAGAATTTCATGTAGTTTTGTTTTGTTTTTCTACTCTAAACCATGCTATAGACAGGATAAACCGATACTTTTTACTTTTTCTTTTTTGTTATAATTCTCTGGCCCCAAATAAATTCATGTCGAGTGTGAAAAGTCATCCCTTCAAGGAATACATATTTGGAAAGGGATGCCTCAGAATAAGACAATGTAATGGAGAAGATGAAGCAGAGAAGATCAACAGCCTTTGAGAGGGCAAAAGTCATTTAAGCCCCTTGAGGGCTATAGGCAAAGATGGGTGACTGGAGAGATATAAACAGTGCTTTCGCTCAATTCCTAGAGTCTTATAGTATCTCTCACTGTCTCTTTCAAGGTCACCAAGGCTGGGAAAAAAAAGAACATCCACTGAGCATTCAAGCCCAAAAGATGAAGAAAGAAATGGCTACCCACAAGGTCAATCAAGTACTTTTCACAGTGGAGCTTTTAAAGTAGAGACACCAAGCATTTGGGAATAAACAACAGCTTTTGCAGCACATCCAAGCATTTAATAGTTTTGTTTTCTGACTTGTGATTATGTATTTTCATTTTCAAAATTTATTTTTTGTTTTGTTTAAATATTTTTATTTTATAATTAATTTAATTTTACATATCAGTCACGGATTCCCCTGTCCTCCCTCCACCCATCCCCAAGTCTTCCCCTTGAATCCACCTCCCATTCCCACTTCCTCCAAGGCAAAGTCTCCCCTGGGGAGTCAACTCAGCCTGGTAGATTCAGTTGAGGCAGGTCCAGTCCCCTCCTCCCTACACCAAGGCTGAGCAATGTGTCTCGGCACAGGCCCTAGGTTCCAAAAAGCCAGCTCATGCACCAAAGACAGGTCCTGGACCCACTGCCTGAGGGCCTCCTAAATAGTTCAAGCTAATCAACTGTCTCACTTACCCAGAGGGCCTGGTCTGTTTCCATGGGGGCTCCTCAGCTATTGGTTCACAGTTCATGTTTTTCTACTAGTTTGGCTATTTGTCTCTGTAATTTTTCCAACCATGGTCTCAATATCTCTTGCTCATAGAATCCCTCCTCTCCTGGACCTATACCTGGGGCATGACCATGGAATTCTGCATCTGCTTCCACCAATCACTGGATGAGAGTTCTACCATGACAGGGTGTTCAGCCGTCCGATCACCAGAGTAGGTCAACTTGGACTTTCTCTCAACCATTGCCAGTAGTCTATTGTGGAAGTATCTTTGTGGATTTCTCAGGACCTCTCTAGCACTCTGCTTCTTCTTATTCCCATGGGGTCTTCCTTTATCATGGTATCTCTTTCCTTGTTCTCCCACTCTGTTCCTGATCCAGCTGGGACCTCCCGCTCCCCTAAGCTCTGTTTCCCCCGACCCTTGCCCTCCATTACCCCCCCACACACACACATCCAACTTGCTCATGTAGATCTCATCCATTTCTGTGTCGGGTGATCCCTGTGTCTTTCTTATTGTCCTCTTTACTAGGTAGCCTCCCTAGAGTTGTGAGTTGCAGTCTGGTTATCCTTTGCTTCATGTCTAGTATCCACTTATGAGTGAGTACATACCATGTTTGTCTTTCTGAGTCTGGGTTACCTTACTCAGGATGATATTTTCTAGTTCCATCCATTTGACTGCAAACCTCATGATGTCACTGTCTTTCTCTGCTGAGTAGTATTCCATTGTGTATATGTACCACATTTTATTTATCCATTCTTCGGTTGAGGAGTATCTAGGTTATTTCCACATTCTGGCTATTATAAATAACACTGCTATGAACATAGTTGAGCATTCCTTGGGTATATGCCCAAGAGTGGTAAGCTGGGTCTTGAGGGAGGTTGATTCCCAATTTTCTAAGAGAGCGCCAAATTGATTTCCAAAGTGGCTGTACAAGTTTGCATTCCCACCAACAGTGCAGGAGTGTTCCCCTTGCTCCACATCCTCTCCAACATAAGCTGTCTTCAGTGTTTTAGTTCTTAGCCATTCTGACAGGTATAAGATAGTATCTCAGAGTCATTTTGATTTGCGTTTCCCTGATGATTAAGGATGTTGAGCAATTCCTTAAATGACTTTTAGGCATTTGAGCTTCTTCTGTTGAAAATTCTCTGTTTAGCTCTATAGCCCATTTTTTTAATTGGACTGTTGGGTATTTTGATGTCTAATTTCTTGAGTTATTGATATATTCTGGATATCAGCCCTCTGTCATATGTGAGGTTGGTGAAGATCTTTTCCCATTCTGTCGTTTTTTCTTGTTGATCATGTCCTTTGCCCTACAAAACTTCTCAGTTTTAAGAGGTCCAATTTATTAATTGTTTCTCTCAGTGTCTGTGTGACTGATATTATATTTAGGAAGTGATCTCCATTGCCAATGCATTCAAGACCACTTCCTACTTTCTCTTCTATCAGGTTCAGAGTAACTCGATTGATGTTGAGGTCTTTGATCCACTTGGACTTAAGTTTTGTGCACAGTGACAGATATGGATCTATTTGCAGTCTTCTACATGTTGACATCCAGTTATACCAGCAACATTTGCTGAAGATGCTTTTTTTCCCCCATTGTACAGTTTTGGCTTCTTTGTCAAAAATCATGTTTTTACAGGTGTGCCAATTAATGTCATGGTCCAGTTCAGTTCCATTGGTCCACATGTCAGTTTTTATGCCAGTACCAAACTGTTTTTATTATTATAGCTCTTGAACTCAGGGGTCATGATGCCTCCAGAGGTTGTTTTATTGTACAGAATTCTTTTGGCTATCCTGGGTTTTTTGTTTTTCCATATGAATGTGAGTATTGTTCTTTCCAGGTCTGTGAAGAATTTTGTTGGGATTTTGATGGGGATTGAATCTGTAGATTGCTTTTGGTAAGATTGCCATTTTTACTATGTTAATCCTGCCTATCCATGAGCATGGGAGATCTTTCCATTTTCTGACATCTTCTTCAATTTCTGTTTTCAGGGACTTAAAGTTCTTGTCATACAGGTACTTCACTTGCTTAGTTAGAGTTAACCCCAAGGTATTTTATATCATTTGTGGCTATGGTAAAGGGTGATGTTTCTCTGATTGCTTTCTCAGCCCATTTGTCATTTGTATATAGGAGGGCTACTGATTTTTTTTGAGTTAACCTTGTATCCTTCTACATTCCTGAAGGTGTTTATAAGCTGTATTGGTTCGTTGGTCGAATTTTTGGGGTCACTCATGTATACTATCATGTCATCTGCAAATAGCGAAAGCTTGACTTCTTCCTTTCCAATTTGTATCCCCTTGATCTCCTTATGTTGCCTTATTGCTCTGGCTAGAACTTCAAGTACTATATTGAATAAGTATGGGGGAGAGCAGACAGCCTGGCCTTATTCCTGATTTTAGTGGAATCGCTTTGAGTTTCTCTCCATTTACTTTGATGTTGGCTGTTGGCTTACTGTAAATTGCCTTCATCATGTTTAGGTATGTTCCCTGTATTCCTGATCGCTCCAAGACCTTTATCATGAAGGGGTGTTGGATTTTGTCAAATGCCTTTTCAGCATCTAGTGAAATGATCATGTGGTTTTTTTCTTTCAGTTTGTTTATATGGTGTATTACATTGACAGACTTTTTTATGTTGAACCATCCTTGCATCCCTGGGATGAAGCCTACTTGATCATGGTAGAAAATTATTTTGATGTGTTCTTGGAGTCTGTTTGCCAGTATTTTATTGAGTATTTTTGCATCAATGTTCATGAGGGAGATTGGTCTGTAGTTCTTTCTTTGTTGCATCTTTCCTTGGCTTGGGAATCAGGGTAATTGTAGCCTCATAGAAGGAGTTTGGTAACGTTCCTTCTTTTTCTATTGCATGGAACAATTTAAAAAGTATTGATATTATCTCTTCTTTGAAGATCTGGTAGAATTCTGCTTTTTTTTTTGGTTGGAAGACTTTTATTGACTGTTTCTATTTCATTAGGGGTTATTGGTCTATTTAAATAGTTTATTTAGTCTTGATTTAACTTAAGTATGTGGTACCTATTCAGAAAATTATCCATTTCTTTTAGATTTTCCAGTTTTGTGGAGTAGAGGTTTTTGAAGTATGACCTGATGATTCTCTGGATTTCCTCAATGTTAGTTGTTATGTCTCCCTTTTCATTTCTGATTTTGCTAATTTGGATTCTCTCTCTCTCTCTCTCTCTTTCTCTCTCTCTCTCTCTCTCTGCCTTTTGGTTAGTTTGGATAAGGGCTTATCTATCTTGATTTTCTCAAAGATCCAACTCTTTGTTTCATTGATTCTTTGTATTGTTCTCTTTTATTGATTTCAGCTCTCAATTTGATTATTTCCTGGCATCTATTCCTGGATGACTTTGCTTCTTGTTCTAGAGCTTTCAGGTGTGCTGTTAAGTCACTAGTGTGAGATTTCTCCAACTTCTTTATGTGGACATTTAGTGCTATGAATTTCCCTCTTAGCACTGCTTTCATAGCGCCCCATAAGTTTGGATATGTGGTATATTCATTTTCATTGAATTCTAGGAAATTGTTAATTTCTTTCTTTATCTCTTCCTTGAGCATTATTAAGTTGATTCAGTTGAGCATTATTAACTTTCCATATGATTGTAGGCTTTCTGTAATTTTTGCTGTTGAAATCTAACTTTAAGCCATGGTGGTCTGATACAACACAGGAGGTTATTCTGATTTTTTTTTTTTTTGTATCTGTTGAGATTTGCTTTGTGGCCAAGTATGTGGTCAATTTTAGAGAAGGTTCCATGGGATGCTGAGAAGAAGGTATATTCTTTTTTTTAGGATAGAATGTTCTGTAGATATCGATTAAGTCCATTTCAGTCATAACATCAGTTAAGTCCTTTATTTCTCTGTTAAGTTTCTATTTTGCAGATCTGTCCAGTGGTGAGAGTGGGGTGTTGAAGTCTCCCTCTATTAATGTGTGGGGTTTTATAAGTCATTTAAGCTTCAGTAATGTTTCTTTTACATATGTGGGTGCCCTTGTGTTTGGGGCATAAATGTTCAGAATTGAAACTTCATCTTGGTGGATCTTTCCTGTGATGAGTATGTAATGTCCTTCTTGATCTCTTTTGATTGACTTTAGTTTGAAGTCTATTTTGCTGGATATTAGGATGGCTATTCCAGCTTGCTTCTTAAGACCATTTGATTGGAAAGACTTTTCCCAGTCTTTTATTCTTAGTAGTGTCTACCTTTGAATTTGAGGTGTGTTTCTTGTATGCAGCAGAAAAATGGGTCCTGCTTTCATATCCATTCTATTAGCCTATGTCTTTTTTTTTTTTTTTTTTTTGGTTTTTCGAGACAAGGTTTCTCTGTGTAGCTTTGCGCCTGTCCTGGAACTCACTTGGTAGCCCAGGCTGGCCTCGAACTCACAGAGATCCGCCTGGCTCTGCCTCCCGAGTGCTGGGATTAAAGGCGTGCGCCACC